CAATGGGCATGCCCCCCCGAGGGCCTCCATTTGGATCTCCCATGGGTGAGTTGGCACTAGCTATCTCCTCCATCCTTACATATATTCTATAGCCCAGGCTGGCCTTGAACTTCTTTTCCTCCTGCTTCAGCTTCTCAAGTGTTAGGATCATAGGGGCCTGTGCTACCAAGCCTGTCTGTCTTATATACATGCTTATAGCTTTCTTTTTCCTTTCCCCAGGCCCTTTATCTCACTGTTTCCAGAGATCTCTGAAAACAACTCTGTCTTATTTTGACTTTTATCAACTTTTCTTTTTCTTCCCGCAGGTCACCCAGGTCCCATGCCTCCACATGGCATGCGTGGGCCGCCCCCATTGATGCCTCCGCATGGTTACACTGGCCCTCCACGACCCCCTCCCTATGGCTACCAGCGAGGGCCCCTCCCTCCACCCAGACCCACTCCACGTCCCCCAGTTCCACCTCGGGGTCCACTTCGGGGCCCACTTCCTCAGTAAACTGCCATCCTTCTTCCCCCTCTCATATCCTCCCAATAGAGTCTTCATTTCTTGGACCAATCAGAATTGCTATAGCTCATTGGGGCTAATGTACTAACCCCTCTCAGCATCCCTGCCCCTGGTTTCAGTGTAATTTTTTCCCACAAATTTGTCTTCATTTTTTAAACGATGGTCCTAAGTGTTTTGCAGATACAAAGAGAAAATAAAACTATACTTGTTTATTCTCTGATCTGTTTTCTTTGGTAAGGTAACTTTTTTATTTCTTTGGTCTTTTTGAGACAGGGTGTCCCTGTAGCCCCAGCTGGCCTGGAGCTCACTGTGTAGACCAGGCTGGCCTTGAACTCACAGAGGTCCACCTGCCTCTGCCTAACTGAAGTTCATTTGGAACCATTTCCCCTCTTTTTTTTGGTCTTTTTGTGACAGGGTCTCCTTGTCCTGGAACTCACTAGGTAGACCAGGCTGGCCTCGAATTCACAGAGATCTACCTGCCTCTGCCTCCCAACATGCTGGGATTAAAGGCATGCGCCACCACGCCCAGCTGGAAACACATTTCTGTAAGTAAGAGATTAGATGAATGAACTGATAAATCCATACAGTAGCAAATACAGAACTTTAAAACATCAGGAGGAAGGGATGGTATAGCTCAGTGTTAGAGTGCATCTTTGGTATACATGAAGTCCTGGGTTGCATCCCTTACCCCACGTACAAGATTCTGTACATGCTCTTGTGAAGAGATCTGTAGGTCATAGTAAACAAATTATGTACATATATATCCTACATATGCATATATAGAATATATATATATATACACACATATGTTACCTACAGGTAGCATATATGTGCATGTGTGTGTATTTGAAAAATAGATAAACCAACAACTGAGGGGAAATGTTATCACTGAGTACAATAGTATGGAGGGACGCTTCATTTCTTGAGATTACTATGTTAATGTGGCTTTCATTTGGAGCCATATAAATGTCTTAAATATTCTAGTGGCAGCTGAGGGGATACTAGGTTAAATACAACAAGTTTTGCTGTCAGAACTAACACACAAAAGACATGGTTATTGAAACAAAATATTTTGGGAGCAGGATGAAAGATAACTAACTTAGTATTGAAAGTTCAGGAAACCTTCCTGTGGAAAATTGATGTGTGAATGTAGTCTTTTTGGCCCTTGAGATAGTCTTACTATGTAGCCCTATGTAGTCTTACTGTGAGGCCGACCTCAAATTGTGTCTTTCTGCCTCTGCCTCCACAGTGCTGGGTTTCTCCAGACTGAATTTAATCTCGAAAAATAGAATCTTCTCATTCAGAAATGAAGTAGCAGCTCATTCCAGGGATGTGGGATATTTCTGGGCAGAGGCAGGTTGATAAATGAATGCTGTATGATGCACTAAAGTTGGTGCTGGAGGCAGAAAGATCAGAGCCAGTTGGGGAGTTCCTATAGATTAGTTTTTTCAGCCCTTTCCCTGTCAGGCCATGGAACCCTTTGAAACAATACTGACATAAGATGGAGGAGGCTATGTTAGCTGTGGACTATTGGCTAAGGAATTCTAGCCTCAGTTTGATACGCTTCTCAGACATTAATGTAATGTTGACTAGGTAGAGCTAGTAGGTTTGGATTGGGGAACTTTCTTACAAGGACAGTAATAAAGCTGTGGGGGCCTCCTGATATGAACAAGGAAAAGAGTAAGCTGGAAGGCTCTAGGACTGAGCCCACAGAAACCAGTGTTAATGAATTCAGTACAGGGGACCCCAGAGGGGTAGTTGGTGAAGTACATGAAGCCACAGCACCTAGGGGAATGATTTAAATCTTCCCTCAGAATTAAGAAGCTTTTCCTTCTGCAAGAACAATATTTCTCTTTTTTTTTCATTTGTTGTTATTTTTTTTATTTTATGTATATGATATTTTACCTGTGTGTATATACGTGCACTGTGTGTACAATACCTGTGGAGATCCAAAGAGGGCATTGGATCCCCTGGAACTGGAGTTATGGATCATTGTTAGCTGCCATATAGATGCTGGAAACTGCACCTGAGTCTTCTGCAAGAGCAGCCAGTGCTTTTTTTCCCCCTAAGATTTATGGTTTTTTTATTTTATTTTTTATGTGTAGGATTGTATTACCTGTATGTAAGTGCACCCACGTTGTGCAGTGCCAGTGAAGGACAGAAGTGGCTGTCAGATCCCCTGGAACTGGAGTTATGGACAGTTGCTAGCTGCCGTGTGGGTGCTGGGATTCGAACAACCAGTGTTCTTAACCACTGAACCATCTCTCTAGCCCATTTATGTTATTTTTAATCCTGTGTATATGCATGTGTTTGTAACTGTGTATGCACACAATTACTAGAACCTATGGAGGCCAGAGGTATCAGATCCACTGGAGATGGAATTGCAGGTGGTTATTAGCCATCTGATGTGGGTACTGGGAATCAAATTCAGGTTCTATGGAAGAGTAATACATACTCTTAACCGCTGAGCCATCTCTCCATTCCCTCAAACCTTATTGTTTATTTACTTATTTATTTAGACATAGTAGCCCAGGCTAGACTAGAACTTGCTATGTAGACCAGACTGGCCTCAGTGAGAGATTGGCCTGCCTCTACTTTCTAGTTGTTGGCATTAAGGGCTGTGCCACCACATCCAGCCCTCTTTATTTTGATATAGAATCTTACTAAGCTGGCCTTAAACTTTTGTAGCTCATGCAGGTCTGAACTGGTGATCCTCCTGACTTAGCCTCCTGAGTTGCTGAGATAACAGGCTTGTCCCCAAGTCTTGACTGAAGACTGTTGCAAGTTATGTTGAAAGTAATGAGTATACAGAGTCACCTTAAAGAGAAGAAATGGCTTCCTGCCAGCAAGGCTTGGCTAAAAACCTAACTACAAATAATAATATATTTAAATAAAAAATGGATTAATCTTAAGGAGTATCAATGAAAGCCCTGATAAGGGAGAGTCCCTGAGGCCCACGTGGGCAGAACTGTTCCAAGTACAATCCTGAAAGAGCTCTTCAGCCATCAATTGTAGAGTAGTCAGAGAGCATTGGCAAGACTGCCTGGATCATAGATGTGGGGCAGAGAATTGCTGCCAGGAAGAGTTTTTGGACCCATTGGCATTCCAACTGGGATGGCCAGATGCCATTAAAGATACAAATCATCTGTTCAGTTATGTCACTGCATCTGAACTCTGACAGGATTCTGATTTGGCTTCAGGAAGAGAATATATTGGACAGACATGAATTTTCAGTCTAGGTAACAATTAAGTTTTTATAAATTAATATCTATTATGATGACAAATTGTGAATTTTATTGGCACAAAGAAATATTTCCAAAGTCCAGCACTGAGGCTTACAAAACTCAGGCCTGCTTCTCTATCAGTGGTAAATGTCAAATGTCACCTGTGAGATCTCTTGGAACCCAGGCTGCCAGCCTTCTGTATGTAATATACCTCAGCCTCTGTAACCACACTTAGCAAAGCACAATCATACAATATTACATCTGAAAAGGATTCAGTTGCAGCAACTAGTCCAAGATACCCCATTTTCCAGATATGAAATCTGGGGTTCATAGAGGCAGGCAACTTGACCAAAAGTCAACTGTGTTAGAAGTGAGAATCTGAGGGAGAATCCTTGATCAGTGTTTTGTCCAGACAACCTTACCTGGAGCAGACTGGTTCAGGATGTACATCCTCAAATTGCCTCTAAATCCTGGAGCAAGAATGGTCACAAAGTGCTGTGTCTTGGATCCAAGTTCAGGTTATCGGTAGGGGACAAAGAAGAGGCAAGGAAATGTGAGGGAAACCACTGAAAGCAGCTCCCTCCCTCTGAAATGTATGCCTAAAGGAAATGGGAAGGGAACTGAGGGCCTTTTTTTGAGTGATTGGAGCATGTGGATAGAAAGGGAAGATGTTCTGTTGGTCAGACAGGTAAATAAACCCTCAGCTTCTCCATTTCTGGCCTCTGCTACCACCAACTGAATGAAGGAGGGTAGGAAGAGGAGGTCGGCACTGTGGATAAACAATCTGGACTGTTTCTGGAGGAGAAAGATGGCAGGGATCCAGGAGTCTGACTCTGACAGTTGGATGCAGAAACCACACCTTGTTATCTCAGCTTTCTTTCAAATAGCTAGGTGAACCTGGGCTGTGAACAGTGGATCCGAGAGACGGTGGGTGCTTAGAATTCCTCCGGGGGCAGCGGAGAAGGGGAAGGGAAATGTTTTTTTTTAAGGCAAAAGAGCTGCGGGAGCTCTTAGGTTCTGTCATCCTGGGGCTGGGGGACTAAGGAAGGGGCCGTCTCCCCATTTGCTTCCCTAGCATCGCTATTCACTGTCTTAGTTTTTTCATCTTTTGCTAGGCACCGTCGTTCAGCTGTCCCTGTGACAACCTCCCCAGCCCTTTTATCATTTCTCCGTGTGTCCTGAGTCCCCTCCT